GCAATACTATCGCAATACTACTAAAATAGTGTGGGTATGATTGCAATACTATTTCAATACTACTAAAATAGTGTGTGGTATGATTGCAATACTATCTAATACTACTAAAATAGTGTGGGGTATGATTGCAATACTATCGCAATACTACTAAAATAGTGTGGGGTATGATTGCAATACTATCGCAATACTACTAAAATAGTGTGTGGTATGATTGCAATGCTATCGCAATACTACTAAAAAGTGTGTGTGGTATGATTGCAATACTATCGCAATACTACTAAAATAGTGTGTGGTATGATTGCAATGCTATCGCAATACTACTAAAATAGTGTGTGGTATGATTGCAATACTATCGCATAATACTACTAAAGTAGTGTGTGGTATGATTGCAATACTATCGCAATACTACTAAAATAGTGTGTGGTATGATTGCAATGCTATCGCAATACTACTAAAATAGTGTGTGGTATGATTGCAATGCTATCGCAATGCTACTAAAGTAGTGTGGAGTCCTATTGCAATACTATCGCAATACTACTAAAATAGTGTGTGGTATGATTGTAATGCTATTTCAATACTACTAAAATAGTGTGTGGTATGATTGCAATACTATTTCAATACTACTAAAATAGTGTGTGGTATGATTGCAATACTATTTCAATACTACTAAAATAGTGTGGGGTATGATTGCAATACTATTTCAATACTACTAAAATAGTGTGTGGTATGATTGCAATACTATCGTAATACTACTAAAATAGTGTGGGGTATGATTGCAATACTATTTCAATACTACTAAAATAGTGTGGGGTATGATTGCAATACTTCTAAAATAGTGTGTGGGGTATGATTGCAATGCTATCGCAATACTACTAAAATAGTGTGGAGTCCTATTGCAATACTATCGCAATACTACTAAAATAGTGTGGTATGATTGCAATACTATCGCAATACTGCTAAAATAGTGTGGAGTATGATTGCAATACTATTTCAATACTACTAAAATAGTGTGTGGTATGATTGCAATACTATCGCAATACTGCTAAAATAGTGTGGGGTATGATTGCAATACTATTTCAATACTACTAAAATAGTGTGGGGTATGATTGCAATACTTCTAAAATAGTGTGTGGTATGATTGTAATGCTATCGCAATACTACTAAAATAGTGTGTGGTATGATTGCAATACTATCGCAATACTACTAAAGTAGTGTGTGGTATGATTGCAATGCTATCGCAATACTAATAAAAGAGTGTGTGGTATGATTGCAATGCTATCGCAATACTACTAAAGTAGTGTGTGGTATGATTGCAATACTATCGCAATACTACTAAAATAGTTTGTGGTATGATTGCAGTGCTATCGCAATGCTACTAAAATAGTGTGTGGTATGATTGCAATGCTATCGCAATGCTACTAAAGTAGTGTGGAGTCCTATTGCAATACTATCGGAATACTACTAAAATAGTGTGTGGTAAGATTGCAATGCAATCGCAATACTACTAAAATAGTGTGGTATGATTGCAATACTATCGCAATACTACTAAAATAGTGTGGAGTATGATTGCAGTGCTATCGCAATGCTACTAAAATAGTGTGTGGTATGATTGCAATGCTATCGCAATGCTACTAAAGTAGTGTGAAGTCCTATTGCAATACTATCGCAATACTACTAAAATAGTGTGTGGTATGATTGCAATACTATCGCAATACTACTAAAATAGTGTGTGGTATGATTGCAATGCTATTGCAATGCTACTAAAGTAGTGTGGAGTCCTATTGCAATACTATCGCAATACTACTAAAATAGTGTGTGGTATGATTGTAATGCTATTTCAATACTACTAAAATAGTGTGTGGTATGATTGCAATACTATTTCAATACTACTAAAATAGTGTGTGGTATGATTGCAATACTATTTCAATACTACTAAAATAGTGTGGTATGATTGCAATACTATTTCAATACTACTAAAATAGTGTGTGGTATGATTGCTACTAAATACTATAAAATGTGTGGGTATGATTGCAATACTATGCAAATGCTGCTAAAATTAAAGTAGTGTGAAGTCCTATGTGGTAACACTACTAAAATAGTGTGTGGTATGATTGCAATGCTATATAATACTGCTAAAATAGTGTCTGTGGTATGATTGCAATACTATTTGCATTATACTAAAGTAGTGTACTAAACTTTCAAAATGGTGTGTGGTATGATTGCAATGCCTACTATAAAATCTATAAAATGTGTGTGGTATGATTGCAATGCTATGCTTATGCAAAATTCGGCTGAACTAGTGTAAATGTGTTAGAAAGTACTACTAAAAAGCGGTCCAGTGTGGATATACCTGTGTCTCCAACCTCATTGCAATACTATTGGCATATTCTAATGCTATGTTTGCGCGACTACTAAAATTCACCGACACGCAATGCTTAATGCTATATATACTAAAGCATAGTGTGTGGTTCCATTAATTTCACGTGATAGGTAGCGATTACTATTCAGATTAGCAATACTAAAACTTCTGTCTAAATCTAAAGTTTTAGTGTCACGCATCAGATCTTCTGACCAATACTGCTAAATCTTTATCCCAATAAAATCGCTTCTTACAACTGTGAAAACTACTAATATCTAGATGTGTGCCTAAGTTTTTCAATATCGTTTGCATATGATCTGAAGAGAACAAAGAGAATAAACAAAGATGTGCATAAATGGCAACCCTGCTATATGATGGTATGCACTATGATTGCACTACTAAAATAGTGTGTGGTATGAGTTGCAATACAACTACTAAAATGGTGTGGGGGTATTTGCAATACTACTAAAATAGTGTGTGGTATGATTGCAATACTATCGCAATACTACTAAAATAGTGTGTATGATTGCAATACTATTTCAATACTACTAAAATAGTGTGTGGTATCGATGATTGCAAATGCTATCACAGTAATACTAATAAAATGTGTGTGGGGTATGATTGCAATGCTATGCGTAATACTACTAAAGTAGTGTGTGGTATGATTGCAATACTATCATAATACTACTAAAATAGTGTGTGGTATGATTGCAGTGCTAATACTAAAATAGTGTGTGGTATGATTGCAAATGCTATCGCTAAATACTAAAATAGCTACTAAAGTAGTGTGGAGTATGATTGCAATACTATTTCAATACTACTAAAATAGTGTGTGGTATGATTGCAATGCAATCGCAATACTACTAAAATAGTGTGGTATGATTGCAATACTATCGCAATACTAATAAAATAGTGTGTGGTATGATTGCAGTGCTATCGCAATGCTACTAAAATAGTGTGTGGTATGATTGGAATGCTATCGCAATGCTACTAAAGTAGTGTGGTATGATTGCAATGCTATCGCAATGCTACTAAAGTAATGTGGAGTCCTATTGCAATACTATCGCAATACTACTAAAATTGTGTGGTATGATTTCAATGCTATCGCAATACTACTAAAATAGTGTGGTATGATTGCAATACTATCGTAATACTACTAAAATAGTGTGTGGTATGATTGCAATGCTATCGCAATACTACTAAAATAGTGTGGTATGATTGCAGTGCTATCGCAATACTACTAAAATAGTGTGTGGTATGATTGCAATGCTATCGCAATGCTACTAAAATAGTGTGGAGTATGATTGCAATGCTATCGCAATACTACTAAAATAGTGTGGTATGATTGCAGTGCTATCGCAATACTACTAAAATAGTGTGGTATGATTGCAGTGCTATCGCAATGCTACTAAAATAGTGTGGAGTATGATTGCAATGCTATCGCAATACTACTAAAATAGTGTGGTATGATTGCAGTGCTATCGCAATACTACTAAAATAGTGTGTGGTATGATTGCAATGCTATCGCAATACTACTAAAATAGTGTGGTATGATTGCAATGCTATCGCAATACTACTAAAATAGTGTGGTATGATTGCAATGCTATCGCAATACTACTAAAATAGTGTGGTATGATTGCAGTGCTGTCGCAATACTACTAAAATAGTGTGGAGTATGATTGCAACGCTATCGCAATACTACTAAAATAGTGTGGTATGATTGCAGTGCTATCGCAATGCTACTAAAATAGTGTGGAGTATGATTGCAATGCTATTGCAATACTACTAAAATAGGGTGGTATGATTGCAGTGCTATTGCAATACTACTAAAATAGTGTGGTATGATTGCAATGCTATCGCAATACTACTAAAATAGTGTGGTATGATTGCAATGCCATCGCAATACTACTAAAATAGTGTGGTATGATTGCAGTGCTATCGCAATGCTACTAAAATAGTGTGGAGTATGATTGCAATGCTATTGCAATACTACTAAAATAGTGTGGTATGATTGCAGTGCTATTGCAATACTACTAAAATAGTGTGGTATGATTGCAATGCTATCGCAATACTACTAAAATAGTTTGGTATGATTGCAGTGCTATCGCAATGCTACTAAAATAGTGTGGAGTATGATTGCAATGCTATTGCAATACTACTAAAATAGTGTGGTATGATTGCAGTGCTATCGCAATGCTACTAAAATAGTGTGGAGTATGATTGCAATGCTATCGCAATACTACTAAAATAGTGTGGTATGATTGCAATGCTATCGCAATACTACTAAAATAGTGTGGTATGATTGCAGTGCTATCGCAATGCTACTAAAATAGTGTGGAGTATGATTGCAATGCTATTGCAATACTACTAAAATAGTGTGGTATGATTGCAATGCTATCTCAATACTACTAAAATAGTGTGGTATGATTGCAATGCTACTTAAATAGTGTGGAGTATGTTTGCATTACTATTGCAATACTAATAAAATTATATTGCGTATGATTGCAATACTATCGCAATAGTGAAAATAGCCAAGTAATCACCCATAGTGGTTAGGCAGAATGCATGTACATTATGATAGAATGGAACATTATGTACTGGATAACTGAAACTGTTGCCATGGTTACCTGATGTCTTTCAGAAACTCTGGTGATGAGGTGAAGTGCGACATAATGAGTGAGGGCCAGAAGATCCAGGCAGAAGGATATGGGGACATGGTAATACAGAAACTTCATACACTTCGACAAAACAATGAACTCTGTGACTTCAGGGTCTCAGCTGATGGCCGCGTCTTCGAGGTGAGTTGAAATAGACCTGTTTAACAAACTGATGCTTGAAACCAGCTCGCAAATGTATAACTGGTTCTTGAAAGTACCTTGTATATGTATAACTGGTACTTGAAAATTGAATTGTAAATGGATAACTAGTGCTTGAAAATTGAATTGTAAATGTATAAGTGGTGCTTGAAAATTGAATTGTAAATGTATAACTGGTACTTGAAAATTGAATTGTAAATGTATAACTGGTGCTTGAAAATTGAATTGTAAATATATAACTGTGCTTGAAAGTACCATGTAAATGTATAACTGTGCTTGAAAGTACCATGTAAATGTATAACTGTGCTTGAAAGTACCTTGTATATGTATAACTGTGCGTGAAAGTACCTTGTATATGTATAACTGTGCTTGAAAGTACCTTGTATATGTATAACTGTGCTTGAAAGTACCTTGTATAACTGTGCTTGAAAGTACCTTGTATAACTGTGCTTGAAAGTACCTTGTATATGTATAACTGTGCTTGAAAGTACCTTGTATATATATAACTGTGCTTGAAAGTACCTTGTATATGTATAACTGTGCTTGAAAGTACCTTGTATATGTATAACTGTGCTTGAAAGTACCTTGTATATGTATAACTGTGCTTGAAAGTACCTTGTATATGTATAACTGTGCTTGAAAGTACCTTGTATATGTATAACTGTGCTTGAAAAGGCCCCTGATCATGCTGATTGATAATTGATTTGTGTGTTGGAACTTGGATGTGTTTGTACAATCAGGGTCACTACTTGTTAAAGGTCACATGCAACGTAAAACACAACTTTGCAGATTCTGATACCTTTCGGTATGGACTTACCGAAACAAATCGTCAAAAATGCAAATTCAACTTATAAAGTTGATAAATGATGCGATGAAAAAAACCGCGCGAAATCAGAGTTCAAACGTTTCGCTAATTTTCCCCCAACTTTTCTGGGGAAAACTGGTTTCAACAGCTGGGCTGCGCTTATAGCACGTGTGCAGTGAAATAGGTTCGCGCAACTTGGACGCGGGCTGTCCGGTGAATACTTGGTGAAGGCTTTGGTGTGAGCTATTTTGATAATGTTTTGTTGATATCTCACAGGCGAGAGCTTTTTATATGTTATGACAGTAAATTAACTGTTTATATAATTTCACCACACGTTCTTCTTACCGAGACACTTTCTCAGTTCGATACTTAAAAGCAATGTCATTATTTAGCGTTGACAAAATTTCTAACTGTGATATAGATATATCGTTGTTACAGACAAAACTCAATGTCTTGTTTTATTGACACCTGTGTGTCTGCCTGCCTGTCTGCTAATGACAATATTTAATACACAGCTGCTATCACTGACCACATGCAATTTGAACTTAACACCAATCAGGCTATACACCATAAACAAAATGCATTGATTTATGGCCCGAGTTCGGTCTCTGTCACATTAAGTAATTACACAGACAGGCAGATGTGATAGTTGAACACTTGACATGTAATGATGTCTGTTGATTGCAAAATGTTATACACAAAAAATGAGCATGTATTTACAAAACCCAACATCTCTACATATACACACACAATAAGCCGTGAGGGCATCTGCAAATGAACCAGCCGTTACACTTGAGTGCACACCCACCCGCTCTGACTGGGTTCGGTATCCCGGCTGCTTCGTTTCTTGGGAAGTAAACCGAAGTACACAATATTGCACTTTTGATTTGTAATTGTACGCTTATAATTTTGTTTATATGTTTTTTCATAACCAGCAATGTATATTATATGTCACGAATAAGTGATAATTGTGTTTTAATTATGTTTGATTTTTTGGTTGCATGTGACCTTTAAGTAACTTAAGTTTCAAGTTCTGGAAGGCATTTAGAAGGTTGACAAATGTAAATACATGACACGTTCTATGGATAACAACTTCGTTTTATTCTTTATCACCATGTTTTAGAGCTAATTCTTGCTCCTTCATCAGGTGAATGCTGAGTCAGTGCACAGAGTTCATATATATAGATAAAACATGTTTGCACAACGCAAGATGGGAGAATGTCTAAAGATAACCAATACCAAGGCATCTACCTCCCATATATTACCGTAGATAAGCAGAATTTGGAAGACCAAACAAAGCAGCCTGTAGAAGTGGGTCGGCTTATCTGTGGGTGACACTTTCGTCACATTTTATTTGTCTGGTGACCAGTAAGAAAACGACATCGTATAGTTTCGTGTGAACGAAGGATAGCCGATACCAAGGCATCTACCTTCCCATATATTACCGTAGATAAGCAGAATTTGGAAGACCAAACAAAGCAGCCTGTAGAAGTGGGTCGGCTTATCTGTGGGTGACACTTTCGTCACATTTTTTTTGTCTGGTGACCAGTAAGAAAACGACATCGTATAGTTTCGTGTGAACGAAGAAGAGAAAACGACTTTGTCGCAATGTGCAATATTATCTTCTGGTTCATTCACAAACTTTAAAGCCATGTTAAATTTGATTTGTGAAAGCGATGATGTATGTTTCAGGTCCACAAGGCCCTTCTTGCGGCCACCAGCGACTACTTCCGGGTCATGTTTGGAGGGGTCATGGCTGAGAGCAAGCAGGACACTGTTGACCTCAAGGGTGTCACGGCAGACGGCCTGCAACAGGTCATCGACTTTATCTATTCTGGAGAGATGGCGCTGCACTACGAAAACCTCACAGAGATCATCAACACAGCAAGTCACCTGCAGGTACTTCAGCCAGGGTTGAACGTGGTTAAAACTGGGTTGGGGAATCAAGTACAAGTTAGTTAGTTGGTTGGTTTATCGTTTAACGCTACAATCAGCAATATTCCAGCTATATTGGGGCGGTCTGTAAATATTCGAGTCTAAACCAGCCAATCCAGAGCATGTGCATTGATCTACACAATTGCGATACGATGGCGTGTCAACCAAGTCAGGGAGCCTGGTCACCCGATCCCGTTAATCGCCTCTTGCAACAAGCATGGGTTGCTGAAGACCAATTCTAACCCAGATCTTCACGGGTAGTTAAACACCAAGAGTGTGCCAATACTTGAAGCAGATCAGACAGTTTAGTTGGGAATCTAGGGGAGAATCCTTTGATGCCTGTGATGTCAATCACTGCATTGTCTGGTCAAGATTTAAATATTTTAAACACTGTCGTCATACAACTGGAATATTGCTGAATGCAGCACTGAACAAAGAACATAGCTGTAGTATTGCTGAATGCAGCAATAAAGTAAGAACATAGCTGTAGTATTGCTGAATGCAGCAATAAAGTAAGAACATAGCTGTAGTATTGCTGAATGCAGCAATAAAGTAAGAACTTAGCTGAACATATTGCTGGAATGCAGCAATAGTATAGCTGTAATATTGCTGAATGCAGCAATGCTGCTGAATGCAGCAATAAAGTAAGAACATAGCTGTAGTATTGCTGAATGCAGCAATAAAGTAAGAACATAGCTGTAGTATTGCTGAATGCAGCAATAAAGTAAGAACATAGCTGTAGTATTGCTGAATGCAGCAATAAAGTAAGAACATAGCTGTAATATTGCTGAATGCAGCAATAAAGTAAGAACATAGCTGTAGTATTGCTGAATGCAGCAATAAAGTAAGAACATAGCTGTAATATTGCTGAATGCAGCATAAAACAACAAACAACCAGAATGTACCTGGGATACTGAAGACTCATAAATTTCTCAGAAAATGGTTTGGTTGTTCCACATTCATTATCAGTCTCCCCGTGAAGATCTGTGTTAGAATTGGTCTTCGATAACCCATGTGAAGATCTGTGTTAGAATTGGTCTTCGGTAACCCATGCTGGTTATAAGAGACGACTAACGGGATCGGGTGGTCAGGCTCACTGACTTGGTTGACACATGTCATCATGTCCCAATTTGCGTAGATCGATGCTCGTTCTGTTGATCACTGGATTGTCTGGTCCAGGCTCAGTTATGTACAGACTGGCATCACTTACGCCAATGCCGTGATACTATTGAGGGTGTCCTTAAACAACAAACAAACAAAACTTGTCTGCCGCTACAAAATTATCAGGGACTGCCTTGACGTAGCCGAAACAGTTCTGACTATGGCGTAAAACAACATTCACTCAGTCCCTTGTGCCATACCTGGACCTGGTTCTCAGCACTTATTTAAGATGCAATTAATTTTAGTCAAACACTCAATGTAGGTGGGGTGTTGTGGTTCAAATGGTTGCTTCATCACGCTTGAATTAGTGGGTTCAATTCCCAGTGGGGATACAACGTTGGGGCTCAATATCCAGTGTCCAGTGTCATGATGATGTTTTTGGCAAAAGCGATGCTAATCCTTACTTACACAACTGCTAATCCGCTCACTCAACCGTCCTACCAATCAATCATCCACTCATTCAACCACTTATTCAACCACCTACTCAACTGTAAAAAACACACTAAAAAAACACATGATCACACAGACATACTGATCACCCACCCAGTCACACATTCAACCACTCAACCCAATCTCCCAAAAATACAATCAATCACATGCTAACCCAGTCATCCACTCGCTAAATCCAATCACCGAAACATAAAATCGATCACTCATTCATCATAGCATCAACACATTCAACCACTCAAGCCAATCACCCAAGCATACAATCCTTCATTCACTAACCCAATCACCCGCTCACTAGCTCACTCAACACAATCACCAAAACATACACTCGATCACTTAACCATCAAATCATCCACACAGTCATCCACTCAACCCATCACCCAAACATACAATCAATAACTCACTCATCAAATCATGCACACAGTCAACCACTAAACCCAATCACCCAAACATACAATCGATCACTTAACCATCAAATCATGCACACAGTCAACCACTAAACCCAATCACCCAAACATACAATCAATAACTCACTCATCAAATCATCCACACAGTCATCCACTCAACCCAATCACCCAAACATATAATCAATTACTCACTCATCAAATCATGCACACAGTCATCCACTCAACCCAATCACCCAAACATACAATCAATTACTCACTCATCAAATCATCCACACAGTCATCCACTCAACCCAATCACCCAAACATACAATCAATAACTCACTCATCAAATCATCCACACAGTCATCCACTCAACCCAATCACCCAAACATATAATCAATAACTAACCCATGAGATCATCCACACAGTCATCCACTCAACCCAATCACCCAAACATACAATCAATAACTAACCCATAAGATCATCCACACAGTCATCCACTCAACCCAATCACCCAAACATATAATCAATTACTCACTCATCAAATCATGCACACAGTCAACCACTAAACCCAATCTCCCAAAAATACAATCAATCACATGTTAACCCAGTCATCCACTCGCTAAATCCAATCACCGAAACATAAAATCGATCACTCATTCATCATAGCATCAACACATTCAACCACTCAAGCCAATCACCCAAGCATACAATCCTTCATTCTCAACCCAATCACCCAAACAATACAATCAATTACTCACTCATCAAATCACCCACACAGTCATCCACTCAACCCATCACCCAAACATACAATCAATAACTCACTCATCAAATCATCCACACAGTCATCCACTCAACCCAATCACCCAAACATACAATCAATTACTCACTCATCAAATCATCCACACAGTCATCCACTCAACCCAATCACCCAAACATATAATCAATTACTCACTCATCAAATCATGCACACAGTCATCCACTCAACCCAATCACCCAAACATATAATCAATTACTCACTCATCAAATCATCCACACAGTCATCCACTCAACCCAATCACCCAAACATATAATCAATTACTCACTCATCAAATCATCCACACAGTCATCCACTCAACCCAATCACCCAAACATACAATCAATTACTCACTCATCAAATCATCCACACAGTCATCCACTCAACCCAATCACCCAAACATACAATCAATTACTCACTCATCAAATCATCCACACAGTCATCCACTCAACCCAATCACCCAAACATACAATCAATTACTCACTCATCAAATCATGCACACAGTCATCCACTCAACCCAATCACCCAAACATACAATCAATAACTCACTCATCAAATCATGCACACAGTCATCCACTCAACCCAATCACCCAAACATACAATCAATTACTCACTCATCAAATCATGCACACAGTCATCCACTCAACCCAATCACCCAAACATACAATCAATAACTCACTCATAAGATCATCCACATTGTCAGCCACTCAACCCAAATAAACATACAATCAATAACTAACCCATAAGATCATCCACACTGTCAGCCACTCAACCCAAATATACAATCTATCATACATATCTGTGATAGTCTAGTTAGTTTTACTGTCTTGTCGACAGATATTTTAAATTGATTACCTTGTTTTCATCGCTTTATGGCTGTAATATTGCTGCTGCGATGTAAAATTTTAACTCACTCACTCACTACATTCGATCAGAGCATCCATACATTGAATTAATCAGTCCAGTGTTCACAGATCTCTCACCCACCCAGTCACACATTCAACCACTCAACCCAATTACCAAATCATACAACCGATCACTCATCCATCATAGTATCCAACCAATTCAACCAATCAGTCCAGTGTTCCAGAGCTACAACAGATCACTCACCCATCATAGCATCCAACCAATTCAACCAATCAGTCCAGTGTTCCAGAGCTACAACAGCTCACTCACCCACCCAGTCCCCACTGAATCACTCACTTTACATATTTTGTAGGTTGCCTCTGCCCTTGACGTCTGCAGCACTTACATCAAGTCCCTGATGACCTTCGACAATGCTGAAGATTTCCTCAACATTGCAGACACCTATTCCCTGGAGAAGGTCCTCACGCACTGGGAAAACATGATCCAGGAAAAGTTCTATGACTTCAGTCAGACTCAGGCATACCTCAAGATGGACGCTGAAACCTTGTCCAAGCACCTGTCACGAGATTCCTTGAGGATCACATCGGAGTATCAGTTACTGTGTTGTCTTGACAAGTGGTTCAGGTCAAATCCAATGAGAATTGTCAACGACGGATTCACTGTGTTCTCCAAGATTCGATTCCCATTGATGTCGGAACAGGAACTGGCAATGGTTCGGGACAGTGAAATAATACAGAGATGTTCCACCCAAGTTAAAGAGCTGGTGCGCAAAGGGTATCACTATCACGATGCCTGCAAAAAGGGGCATCCAATGATCGACGAGTCGACAAGGGTACGGAGCAATTCTTCGTCTATAATCCTCATCCATCACGGCACCTCGTACATGCCCTTCCAGGTGACGGCCTACAACAGCAATGCCGGCATGTTCTACAGCGTCTACTCTGACGTTAATGGTAGCAGAGACTGCAGGATTGCCTCAGTGGATAACTTTGCGTACATTTGCCGAGTTGTAGATTTTGGAGGAGGGACATTAATGAGCTCCCTTTTTAGATTTGATCCAAGACATCTGATTGGTCAAGAGCTTCGACCAATGAGAAGACTGCGAATCGATTTCACCCTGGTTTCGTTTAATCGGAGTGTGTACGCATTTGGAGGTTCCACGGAACAGTTCGCAATCTTGGACTCGGTGGAACGGTACAGCGCTGTGAACAACACATGGGAGGACATTGTGGCCATGCCTGCCCCAACCCATTCTCTATCTGCTATAGTTTACGGAGAAAGAATATACCTCTCGGGTGGCATTTCCGGGCAAGATCGACAAACTATCAATACTTTTATCAGTTTCGATCCTGCTACACAGCGCTACGAAACTAAACCAGGAATGTTTTATGCCCGACGCCTCCATGACATGGTAGCCTATGACGGGTCTATATACGTTCTAGGGGGCATCCCAAGGCCCGGGGTTCCCCTTCATGGACAAATTCCAATAGAGTGTTTTAGCTTCCATACTAATCAGTGGACTATGCTGTCATCCACCCTAAGTGGGCGGTCAGTCGGTCACTATATCAACTTTGAAGGTCAGATTCTTTCTCTAGGTCATGAGCACCACAATGCTACTGAGGATGAAATATGGGCTTATGACACAGATCTAGATGATTGGTCGAAATATGCAAAAGCTCCACAGAGAATGAGTTTGAACTCTGCTATTTGCACACAACTGTATGTTAACTTTGACGATGAAAAGATCGCGAAGAAGTTTATCAAGGAGAAGTGATTGCTGGATACTGCATCTGTAACAAAAGGAGTGATCAAGAGGACGTCAAGCTTCGTCACGGTTACAGAGTGCAAGAAACATCGCTGTGATTTTACCAAGCATCTTGAGAAGAGTCTCTCTGCTTGAACCTCTAATGGAGGAGACTAAAGTGTATATTGCTGAGCTTTGCGGTAATCAACGGCAAAGGTTGATCTCAGGCATTGATGGGGTCTATCTCAAGCTTCTGTGACATGACACTTGACATGACTATCACAGTTGTATTTCTCTAGACAATACCTCAAAAAGTTTTGAGATGGTCCCTATACCTTTTTTTAACAGGCCAAAGTTATGAGAATTGTTTTTAAGAGTACCTCAATATTCTATCCTCATCAGTGATTGGCTGCTGTTGGCGATGCAGACTGGGAGATTTTTAATTGATAAAATGCACAGAGCTGATGTTCAACCTGGTTTGAAGTGTTTTCTGATTGTAATGGCTTTACCCTGCTTCAGATATACTTCATTATGTAAATGTGAAACAGTTCATGCAATATTTCTTGAAACTTTAATGTGAATGAATTTTGTGGTAAGGACTGCACAGTTTTAGTTTGTGGTTTACAAATTTGAGCCGTTAAGTTTAGGTCAGTAACTTTGAATATTTTCTCTTTCCCTTTTTAAGTATAGTTTTTTATTTCTCACAATTTGTCATTATTTGTTGTGTTCTGAAGTTTACAAAATAATGTTTCAACAGGTTTTAATTATGGTATTTTAAATATTTCGTTTACGTTGATAGAAACAGTATTTTTTAGAAATATTTTACTTATCTCTGATGGCCAGAATAAAAAACACTGCTTTTCATTCACGTACCTTATTCTTTTGTTAGTTTCGTGTAAGATGAAAAATGGTTTACTTTCAAGTTTCTTATAAACTTTGTTAAGTATTTGGCCATAATACATTCACTGTGAGTTACTGATTTAATTGTTAAATTTTCCTTTAGTGATCAATCATTCTGCATGAAATAAGTATCTATCAGAACGGAATGTTTAGACTCTGTAATATCTATATTATACCTTAATTCTATTAGCTGTTGGGGCCTGAAACTAAAGCACAAAATGTTTTTGTGCAGAGTTGCATCCCTTAGTCATGCTAGGATCCAAAGATTTTGTTTTGAATCCTAGGCTCAGTGCTGATGTGCAGTGTTGTGGCATTAAGCAGAAGTCCCACAGTCACGGTTATGTCTTCGATCTCAAGTGGCTCTTCTATACAGGATGACTTTATTTTAAGGCAGTCCACACAATGATTGGTTGGAGTTTCCCAGTATGAGTTGTCTGCAGTCAGCTGATCTTCCACTAGGTACCTCAACGTGACAGTCAGCATCACACCTCGTCGTTGTCCGTCTCACCACGTCATCGTCTCACAACAGCCTTCAGGTTCAGATTTGTTCTCAGTCAGCAACCTTCACCACAATGGCTGAATGTAGTCCACCTGCTTATGTGTTTGTAAACCAAAACTCAAAATTCAAAATTCAATGTCCCTACATCTTGCAACTTCAACCATTAGTTTGAATCCTGAACCCTGGAAGGTTTTGTTTGGTCTTGTGAACTCCTCTGAGAAAGTATTTATTTTACTATTCATTTTTCAAAACAGATCTGTATATATAGTATACCTTTTATCGAATAAAGCAAATTCTTTGGGAGAGGTTTTGTATTGTAGGTGCTCCTTCTTGGGATGTATTTAAATTATTTAAATTGCATGGTGAAGAAAATGCATGGGTCCTTTCCAGAGTTGGCAGCATGAATTGTTGGTCAAGATAATGCAGCTGACCTTTTTAGATTTGGCAATATCAGTTGTTTGCCTGAAAAGGACATGCAACCTTTTGAGATATGGCAAAATTAATTGTTAGCCTAAGATTTGCAAGAAACCTTTCTCAATTTGTCAGCAATGATTGTCAACCTAGGTTTTGCAGACAGCCTTTCAAGATTTGGAAATATTGTTTTTGACCTTTCTAGATTTGGTAACCTTGATTGTGGACCCAGGGTTTGCAGGTAACATTTTGAGATTTGGCAACATTGAATTTGCAGATGACATTTCTGGTCTTGGCAGGGTTGATTGTTGACCTATTTTCAGCAGGTGACTTTTCTAGATTTGGCCACCTTGATTGTTGACCTACATATGACAGGTGCTCTGAGGGAAGTGTTGTGAGGTGATGGTGTGGTGAGGTTGATAGTTTATCTACCTGTGTCTGGCTGGCATCGTCTACCTGCACATAAATAGCTCAAAACATTCATCACATGTGTACACATGCAATCAGGGGAAGAGGTTCTCAACCTCATGTATGCAACACATGGCCTTTACCGATGCCTTGGATTCTGGGAGAATTCTGTATCATATCAGCACACAGGTTTGCTTTTGAGTGTTCTTAGTCTTCAGTTCCTACATTTTGAAAATTTGGTCGACATCTAGCCTGGTCTTGCATTTGTTCGCACATACCGGTCACCCTGAGGCATTCCGAAACAAAGCTTCTCTGGTTGATCCGGCTGTGTAATTTGAACAAGCCACCTCAAAATGGTAACACAAGGGTCAATAGGCTATGGTCATAGCTGTTATGTTTCAAGTTGACCAGTGAAGGAAGTTTGGTTCATATTCTAAAGGAGATAACCTTGACTTCAGGATAACCTTGACTCTCTTACTTTTGGACACTGGAAAAAATAGTGTTGTTGAATCATAATCACATATTGATAGGTGTTTAGATGTTTTAGGTATGAATGCATAGACATGCTTAACTTGTGTATGTTGAACTGATGAGGTTGAGGGTAACTAAAGCAATTGTACCTTTGTTTGAGTTGTCTCTGTGCCCAGTGTTTGAAGACAATGGGATCATGTGTTCTGCTGTGAACATGTTTTTCATCCAATTTTAATGTGCTGTTAAGAAGTACTGAGAAGTAGGCTTAGAAGTTTGAACAAATTGATTTCTTTGTCTTGTTTGAGATTAGGCTGTTGACATAGGAAGGGCTGTGGTTACAGCTTGGGTTTAGACTGTGGGCATGGTGTGGGGCATGGATACAGTCTGGGTTTAGACTGGGCATGGTGTGGTTACAGTCTGGGTTTAGACTGGGCATGGTGTGGTTACAGTCTGGGTTTAGACTGGGCACGGTGTGGTTACAGTCTGGGTTTAGACTGGGCATGGTGTGGTTACAGTCTGGGTTTAGACTGGGGGCATGGTGTGGTTACAGTCTGGGTTTAGACTGTGGGCATGGTGTGGTTACAGTCTGGGTTTAGACTGTGGGCATGGTGTGGTTACAGTCTGGGTTTAGACTGTGGGCATGGTGTGGTTACAGTCTGGGTTTAGACTGGGGGCATGGTGTGGTTACAGTCTGGGTTTAGACTGGGCATGGTGTGGTTACAGTCTGGGTTTAGACTGTGGGCATGGTGTGGTTACAGTCTGGGTTTAGACTGGGGGCATGGTGTGGTTACAGTCTGGGTTCAGACTGTGGGCATGGTGTGGTTACAGTCTGGGTTTAGACTGGGGGCATGGTGTGGTTACAGTCTGGGTTTAGACTGGGCATGGTGTGGTTACAGTCTGGGTTTAGACTGTGGGCATGGTGTGGGGCATGGATACAGTCTGGGTTTAGACTGCAGGCATGGTGTGGTTACAGTCTGGGTTTAGACTGCCGGCATGGTGAAGTGACCTTCAAGTTTGTCATAACTTCATGATTATTGTGAACAGCTAATCACAGATTACATTTAATTGTGAATTACAGTGTTTCAGTGAGTACATTAGTTCACAAATGGAAATATCGGAGTTTTCTCCAAGTAGAGTTAATTAGGTTAGGTCAGGGACGTTTTAATCACATCCTGATTCTTTAAACTATTGATACTGCTTTGGGGCAACCAAGTGATTAGATCCACTTTCTCCATAATACAGGTCTGGAATTGCAGCACGTTGCCCTGTAACCATGGCAACAGTAGAACTGCTTATTTACTGGCCATGACTATCTGAAACTATCAAGGGACCTCTCGTTAGTAACCACTAGTAACTATTGTTACTCACTATTGTTACCAACTATGTTAACTTGTTGTTAATAGTTTACAAGAAGTATCTGATTGTCTCAGATGTCTGATTGTTGTATGCCATCTGTGACACAGTCATACTGCCTCGTATATACATATGTGTTGTGTTTCCAGCTAGGATGATATATAATGTCTATATATACTTGAAACTACATTTACCTCAAATTGTCCTGCTGAAACTTCAGTATCTGTACCTTTGCCCTAATTGGGAAAGCTACTCAAACATTCAAACAGTAGTTGTTCCGTATCCTTGGTTTCCAGTGCGCCAATGTTTACTGTCCACACTCTCCCATGCTGGGACATTCAAACAGTAGTTGTTCCGCATCCTTGGTTTCCAGTGCTCCAATGTTTACTGTCCACACTCTCCCATGCTGGGACAATCAAACAGTAGTTGTTCCGCATCCTTGGTTTCCAGTGCTCCAATGTTTACTGTCCACACTCTCCCATGCTGGGACAATCAAACAGTAGTTGTTCCGCATCCTTGGTTTCCAGTGCTCCAATGTTTACTGTCCACACTCTCCCATGCTGGGACAATCAAACAGTAGTTGTTCCGCATCCTTGGTTTCCAGTGCTCCAATGTTTACTGTCCACACTCTCCCATGCTGGGACATTCAAACAGTAGTTGTTCCGCATCCTTGGTTTCCAGTGCTCCAATGTTTACTGTCCACACTCTCCCATGCTGGGACAATCAAACAGTAGTTGTTCCGCATCCTTGGTTTCCAGTGCTCCAATGTTTACTGTCCACACTCTCCCATGCTGGGACATTCAAACAGTAGTTGTTCAGTATCCTTGGTTTCCAGTGCTCCAATGTTTACTGTCCACACTCTCCCATGCTGGGACATTCAAACAGTAGTTGTTCAGTATCCTTGGTTTCCAGTGCTCCATTGTTTAGTATTTTAGATTCAGAACATACAAACCAGCCTCAAAACGAACCTCTCATTGTGAATTGGTACAGGAAATGTATAATAGTATTACAGAAATTTACACTGGAAGAATTGGGATGGTCGTTAGTATAATCATGTTAAACCATCACGACAAAGTTATTTCCAGTAGCAAAGTTTAGAAATGGTTCCAGTTGTGTTTTAAGTATTGCTGACATTTTGCAGTCTTTGTAAACACTGTAAGCACTTTGATTGTTCATTCCCATATTTTCCCTCACATCTCCTTCGTAAAATCACCTGTTCTGGGTAATATTTCTCGTTTCACACACAAGGCTTCCAAAATCTTGATGATTTTATGTTTCGAAATGAAGGTGTTTATTTGCATTTTAGTATTGTCATACTGTCATGAATATTATTTTGAAGAGATTTTTATGAACTTGAAACTAAAGTCAAGCCTGGGAAAAAAATATTGTTCTATACTTTTCCCCTGATATTGGAAAATTGAGCAAGAAATGTGTACCACAAGAAGTGAAATTGATTGAGTCTTGTGTAGACTGTTTGTGTTGATGTTTCAAGTATCAACACATATTGGGTTGCGGTGTTTAGGACATTCAGTCACATTAGCCAGCAACTCCCATATATGTTTTCCAGTTGTCACCCGGGGCTGTAGGGTATCCCAGCGGTTAAAGCGTTTGCTCGTCACGCCGAAGACCTGGATTTGATTCCCACATGGGCACAATGTGTGAAGCCATTTCTGGTGTCCCCAACCGTGATATTGCTGGAAAACTGCTAAAATCAATGTAAAACTGAACTCATTCACTCACTCACACCAGTTACCAACCAACTCAATTTTCTAGTCTACAATCCTGAACCTTAATGTCATACAATACATAGTACTCAATACTT